TAATAACAGAAAAGTCTAAGAGAGTTGTTAACAGATATATACTATATATAACATATATACTATATAGAGTATATCAAGCATGCACTCACACACACACACGCACACACACACACACATTATGTTAAATAAAAGTTTTTAGTTTAAAGCTTATGAACACACGAGATTTGCTTTTTGTGCTTGACCAAGTTTTGTTTTTGTTGTTGCTTGTTCTGTTTTTTAGGCCTCTCATTTTGTTAATTTGTGTATAAAGATTGTATATTCAATTTTGATTTAATATTATAAAAAGAGCATATTTATATATTAAAAAAAAAAAAACGCTCAACATGTTTTCTTTATTTATGTTTTTGTTTCAATTCTTAATTCTTCTTCATCACTTTTGTTTTTGTATAATAAATTATGTCTATATAATATATATTTTAGAAATATGTAAGTAGGAGGCGCACATTATTTATTACTTTCTCTCTCTCTCTCTCTCTCTCTGTTTTCCTTTTCCTTTCCTTTGACTTTACTTTACGACTTAGAAATACAACTTTTAAAAAATTGATTTGTTTTTCTTTTAGAAAATGTGATATTAATTATTGAAAACAAATATAAACTAAATTGTAAACAAAAACAAGAGTAAAATATATATCAAAAAATAAATAGTAACTAGTGAAAAAGGTATTCATATATATATATAAAATATATGCATATCAAGGTAAAAGGTAAACCTAAACGCATTCAGCATTCAGCTTCAGCTGCATCTTTGCCTCTGATTCTCATTCGCCTGCTCCTGCCGCACTCTTAAACGTCTACAACCATCTTCTTGTGTATATCCGTATTGCCCACAACCGAACAGAATTCATCGAACGATATCTTGCCATCCTCATCCTTGTCCGCAAAGCCGATTGTCTTGTCCACAATCTGCTGCAGTTGCGTGTCTTTCAAATTGTTGCCAACCATCATTTTGAGTACCTGTTGGAAATACATTATATTGATCAGTAAATATCCACTCTAATTCCGCTCTCATCTCATTCCCACTCACCTGAAACAGTTCACCATTCGATATATAGCCATCGTTGTCCATGTCATAGATGCGAAAGGCGAAGCGCAGCTTCGACAATTTATCGCCCTTCACGCTGAACTGGGATACGCCTTGGATGAACTCCTTGAAGTCCACCTCACCATTGCCATCCGCATCGAAAATGTCAATGACGCGCTGCACGAGCGGATTCTGTTGCAGTTCCGGCAGCGACATGAACTCATCCACGCTCAGTGCGCCCGAATTGTCCAAATCCAATTTGCGGAAACGTTTGCCCAAACGACGAATCTCATCTGCATCGACTGAGAGAGTAACACAAAGAGAGAGAGAGAGAGAGAGAGACAGAGAGAGGTAAGCAAAGTAAGAGAGATGAGAGTTAGTATTAGTTACATATGGAAACAGTTTCCTCAAGTCAGGTGTGACTGCCTGCGCCCTGTATACTCGATGCACCCTGTGCTGCTCGTGATCGTCTCTATTTATAGAGCATCACTCGCCCCCCGCCTAAGCGAAAATGACAATGAAAATGTTTATTGATATTCATAATATGCATAGGCTAATTAAAAATAGAGCAACTCTCAGCTACAAATTGTGAATGCAAGCATTCTGCTAATGACACTTGTTTACTTAGAAATTAGGTAAATATATCAAGCAATGGAAAGTGAATAATATATCTTAAAAATGTTCATTTGTATTCACATATAGTTCGAGCTCTAATTGAAATAACTAACATGTTTCATCCTAGCACAATACATGTAAACATACACATTTACTAACACAATTTCAATTACATAACAAGCAGCCTCACTTTATTCCACTTTACATTAATTTGAGATCTTTCCAATTGGAACATAACATAGCATCCTACATAAATAGCGTAATCCTACCACAATCTTCATACTCCAATCAACTACCAACAAGAAAAGAGCTTTCAACTAAAAATACACTACATACCTTTAATACACAAGTATCATTCTATTACAATTCACATTCTCATTGGCGCATGCCACAAACAAAAATAAACAAGTGTCACACTGGCACAATTCTCATATTCCAATTGGCAATAAATAAATACTGCTCCCATTGGGCAAACAAGGCGCATAAAGTAACGCAAATAACTGTAAATGCAAAGGCAATACTAATTGGATTGCACGCTTTCAAATATTTTGTGGGATATTTTAAGTGTTTTAGCTGCGTGGAATATGCATAAAAGCAGCTGGCCAAATTCCATTCAAATGACATTGAGTATATAAAAGAAATATATATGCATACATATGTATATAACTATTAACTTACAATTCGAGCACATTTCCATAGGTAGCGATGTTTCATTTCCCTGAAAGGCAAACGTAATGTTTGTGATAATAAATTTGAGTGAAACGATAAATTTGCCATTTGCATCTAAATATTGAAAAGAATGCCATAAAAGCACTTTTCTCGAATTTTTGTTATTTGGCAGAGTTTTATTACCATTTTGTGTGTGTATGTGTTTCTGGCTTGAAAATGTAATTAGCTATAAATGTATGAACACCAACAACAACAGCAGCGAGACGACTTTTATTTTTCCTATTGACAATTAATAAAAGATTTGCACTTTTTTCTCGTTTTATTTGGCGACTGCGACACTTTTTTGTACACAATGGCGTCTGACCATTCACAGGTAACGCGCACAGAAAGTCAGCTGTTTTTCTTTGGAGCAGAGTGATGAAAAAACGCGTTCACCCTGTTGACTCCCACGCTTCGAACTGGTGAGCAATTGCCAATTGGAAAACAGCTCTGCTATCCAGCAGTCTGTTAGATACATTAACGCAAGTCTGAGCTAATCACTGTTAAGAGACTCAGCAGTGTTATCGAACAGAATGACAGAGTGAGAGGGAGAGAGAGATCAGTGCGTGTAATTCATATGAAATATAATGGGAGATGAGAAAATATGAGTTGGCTATTTATGCATTAAATAAGTAGAAAGTAAATAAATACATAGCATCAACCCAACTAAAGTCAAACGGAACTGCAATACAATGTGAGCGAAACGCAAACTGAGCCAGATAGCGCAAATTTGGTCAAACATTGCTGTAACGGCCATTTTAACAGGCAGCGATAACTATTGCATATGTATATCGAATTTTAAATTGTTGCGCGCTTACAATCGATTTTTAAAATAAAATCAAAGACCTTTTGTGATTTTGAGCTATACAAAAAAAAAAACTGCTGCTGACACAAATACATACTTAACTGCTAAGCAATATGCAATATGCTAATAATATGCACAACAAAAATATACCCTGTATTTGCTGTTGATTTACATAGTTTATGCCTGACCCAATAAAAAGTGCGCAGCAAATGAAACTAAAAATATTCAATTTTTTGGATCACTGAATAATTAGGAATCAGTTATCTATTCAGCTTCCGCTGACCTGCAAGACAAACAGCTGACAATTATAATCGGTTCGTAATGCCAACTGAGCTGAGACCTTATGACGATCAAGTTGCTTCAAATTGGATTGCCCTTTGATAACTGCCATCAGCGGAAAGTGAAAACTCAACTGGCTGTCGGCTGGCCCACTGATGGGAATTGCGGCTAGACACTTGTGGTGCTTCCAGCCCCGTCTCAGCCAAGAGATAGCATTTACTGTCTTCCCATATTATCATTATAGCAAACCGACTTGCCAACTGCCAGCCCATTTCGTTGCGAACGCGCCGAGCGTACGGTCGTCGCTACCAATAGAATATACAACACCCCCCCCAACACGTCCCACCTCGTCCGCAACCACAACCGCGCAGCAGACATGTCACAGAGCACAACGAACTATGTCTATGCGGATGGCAATGGAGCTACGGCAACGAGACGAAATGTAGCCATTGTGGGAGCCGGTCCGGTAAGTCACTTTTATCTACTGCATGTTATTAGAGACGGCGATTAGCTGGTAGCCGTAATACGCATTTTTTGGTTGTCATAAAGCCATAAATGCCAGGCAAGTGAGACATAGATTAGAGCAAAGCATAAGCAAGAAGTGGAGCAGATAGCATACGGATCTAGAGCTACGCGTATAAAATATGCCCAACTTTTTGCGCATCTGGATAATTGTTTAGAATCTTGGGTAATAATATAACTAGAGTTGCACCAAAAATGGATCCTATGCACTTCGAATATTATTGATTCCGTGATTCTTATAAATCAAACCTTTGATAGAGTATTAGATGATCATACATTTGGTATATAATATAAAACACTCTATAAGGATCTATAGAGGAGTTTCATAATAGGTATATATATAGGTACATATACATATTAAACTATATTTAAAATCATTTAAGCAGTATGAGATTTCCATATTTATAATTAGGAAAATTTATTTTCCTATCAATCTTGAAGCTTATACATGTTGTATAGGAGTTTTATATTAATTCATCATCAAAAGCGTATAACAGTATCATATCACCATATGTAAACGCAATATCATTATGCATTATAATTATATTACAGCTACATCTAGAGCATTAGCGTGTTTTAGAGTTTATCTTATATTATAATTTACTTGCGCAGGTGGGTTCATTGGCCGCTTTGAACTTTGCGCGCATGGGTCACGAGGTGCAGCTGTACGAGTACCGCGAGGACATTCGCAAGGCGCAGCTGGTGCAGGGGCGCAGCATCAATTTGGCGCTGTCGCAGCGCGGACGCAAGGCCTTGGCTGCCGTGGGCCTGGAGCAGCAGGTGCTTGCCACAGCGATACCCATGCGCGGCCGCATGCTGCACAGCGTCAAAGGACGCACGAGCATTGTGCTGTACGATCCGTGCAACAATCAGTGCCTGTACTCGGTGGGTCGGAAGCGGCTGAACGAGCTGCTGCTGGATGCCTGCGATGCGTTTCCCAACATCCACTGCCATTTCGAGCATAAGCTGGTCAAGGCCAATGTCAGGGAAGGCCGCTTGCAGTTCAGGCTGGGAAGGGAGAAGCAGAAGAAGAAGGAGCAGGATTCTGAACCGGAGCAGGAGCAGCTGATCTCCGCCAGCGCAGATTTAATTGTGGGCTGTGATGGCGCCTTCAGTGCGCTGCGGCAGCAGCTCGTGCGTCAGCCTGGCTTCAATTACTCGCAGGAGTACATCGGCACGGGCTACCTGGAGCTCTGCATACCGGCCAAGGACAATGAGTTTCAAATGCCACCGAATTACTTGCACATCTGGCCGCGAGATTCCTTCATGATGATCGCTTTGCCCAATCAGGATAAATCATTCACAGTTACCCTGTCGATGCCCTTCGAAGTGTTTGAGCAGCTGAAGACACAGCAGCAGCTGCTAGACTTCTTTCGCACTCACTATGCGGACGCACTGCCTCTGATTGGCGAGCAGCAGCTGATCAAGGACTTCTTCAAGTCACGCCCACAGCACTTGATGTCCGTCAAGTGCAAGCCGTATCACTATATGGACAAAGCCCTGATTCTAGGCGATGCAGCACATGCTATGGTGCCCTACTATGGCCAGGGCTTGAATGCGGGCATGGAGGATCTGACACTGCTCAACTTCATACTGAATCAGCAGCTTCCGCTGGATGTGGCACTGGAAAAGTTTACCGAATCTCGCTGGCGCGATGCCCATGCCATCTGTGATCTGGCCATGTATAACTATGTGGAGGTGTGCATGGCTTCCTGATTTCTTCTCGATGTGCACTTATCTATCGATTCTCTCTTTTATCCTCGACAGATGCGTGATCTAACCAAGCGCTGGTCGTTTCGCTGTCGCAAGTGGCTGGACACAACGCTGTTTCGCCTCTTTCCCAATCAATGGGTGCCGCTCTACAATAGCGTCTCCTTCACCAGCATGCCCTACAGTCAGTGCATTGCGAATCGTCAGTGGCAGGACCAGTTGCTGCGTAAAGTTCTGAGTGGCACGATCGTGTTGAGCTCTTTAGTGGCTGTTGGCGCCATCTATGTGAGACGGTTTCGCTGAGCGTTTCAGATAATCAACTTTGGAATGTACATTTGTTTTGAATTCTCTTTATTGCCTTTAATTTTATAAACATATTTCACTATCATAGACTTACGTGTTCTATTTGTTATAAATATATAAATATATACTGATTATATACTATTTTATTTTATAGCAGCCAATGAGTTGCTGGCGCCATCTATGCGTTATGTTTTATTTTCTGCTCTCTGTGTTCTCGGTGTTGCATGCTATTCTTGCTTACGCTTTTGATCCCGTTAACTGCGCATGGCTAGAAATAGAGGGCACGCTGAGCGCAAACGCAAGCTCCTTTACTAAATTTAGTCAGAGCGCGTTCGTCCTATAAGTTGCAAGTGGAATCTATCGTCTTAATAAAATAAATAAATAAAATATTTARCTAAAGAATTAACTTCAACTTTATATGAATATAATTTTTTTGTGAGTACTTGTAAAGTATAAGAAGTCAGTTCATACAAGCAGAACATGTACATAGTAATTAAATAATTGACTTAGATTTGATTTGTGGCGCAGCGCTTTATCGACGTGCAAAAAACCGCGAAAACTTAGAGAAAAGCAGAAGAGTAAGATAATTTACTGCCAGCATACCAGCAGCTGGGCTAGATGAAAAATGGACGAAAAGTTTATTTCCTCTGAGTATTTTCTCTAAATCTTTCCTTTACGTAATTCATCCAAATATTTCTTCCAAATATTTTCGCTACGTATATCCTTTACGTATTTCCTCTACGTAATGCATAGCAGAACTATCACACACTTCACTTCACTTGACTGCACAGCCCCCACCAGGCCTGGGCGACTGAAGAAATGCTGCAGCTACTGCCCTTTATATAGGACGACTTTCACTCAAAGCCCAAGTCCCACTCTTTTTTTGAGCCCGGTGCCAGGTAGAGGTCGTTGCAGTCGAACTTGAATTGACCAATGGAAATAGTCTCTGCCGTTGCAAGCATTCTTACTTCGTTTTACTTAAATACAGGCAAAAACTAATACTACTGCATACATATAGACAACTTGAATGATCTTCTGTAGTTCTTCTTTGTAGCCTGCTTATAATATAGAGACAGACGGAGCCAGATTATAAGATAGAGAGGGAGACAGCCAGGGAGACCACTCTCACACAGGCTAGATCTAGCCTGAAATAGGCTACATTGACAACATTGGTGCAAGGTGCCAGCCTGCAGGCAAAAGAGAGCATCCATGTGTTGTATGTGTGAGCAAAGTAATAAGAGCGACTAATACATACAGTTATTTAAGCCTAATATTTCTTCGTTTACATGTATTAAATGAAAAATAACTGAAGTGTGAAAGAAAAGGACAGTAATAATCTGTCTTTCTTGTACATATTACCTATGTCTTATACTAACTATGATATTAAGCCGCGTTTTCTATGTATGGAGTAAAGATTTCGGATAAAATTCCAATTGAAATTGTAGGTCATTTATTTTGGATTCTTTTCATTTTTGTTTATACAAAAAACATATTTCCTTACTATATTTAAATAGTTTTATGTACAATTTGAACACAATAAATGTGTCTCGTATAAAAATAAATATACATACATGTATCTATGTATGTACATAAATATATGTGTGTGGTTAAAATACTACACATCGCCTTTGGCAATCTAAACATTGTATGTGCATATATTTGGTTTTTATTTATTTTTGTTTATTTTTGCTGCGTTTAAAAAGTCGATGGCATTGTGCAAAGCCAAAAATATGCCACGGTAGTGTACAATTGCATGCGCGACATACATTCATACATAAGCACATCAATTTATACATATGTACATATGTATGTACGTGCATAGTTGTATTTGCATATTCTATGCTTTTCTCGCATATCACGTGTAACATCGAATGTTTATGCCGGATATCAATGAAAGAAAAACGAATTTTGTTATGATTAACCTCACTTATTTTCTAATTAAATAGATAGAAACAAAATCAATGTATATGTATGTGTGAGTGCCAGCACTGTAATTAAAAATGGCAGCACTGACACGCAAGGCCGACGCTTTCTCTTCACGCGCGCTCGGTCGCTCTCCCACTCTACTTCGCTCTTATTTCAATGTCGACGCCGGCCGGTGTTTCGTTATGACTCGCCAACAATGATAACAACAACATTTCACATTGCACAAAATGCGTTGGTTGATCTTCAAGTCGAAAGCTCACTCTCTCTCTCTCTCTCTCTCTCTTTCACTCTTCGCTCACATACAATGTACGCAGGGAGTTGCCAGCAGCGAGCGCCAACAACATGTTGCTTAGCGAAAAACTAGGCTTAAAAGTGAAAACACACCAAAGCAATGGGCGCGACAATCGACGATTGACCCAGTGCTGCCAACAGCGGCTGAGGCACGAGCAGAGAGTGCTGAGAGTGTCAGTGAGAGCAGCACACACACTCTCTCGCAAGAAGACTCGACTAATTGTTGTTATTTAAATGTGAATGTTTAATCGTATACACAAACATATATATTTAAATATAAGCGTATATATACATACATACATTCTTATATAAATGTGCTCGCCACACACACACATCCACACGGTTATTGTTGCTATATGCCGGCGGCGACTTATTTATTTGTGAACTTTTTCGCTGCTTACATTTTATATTTCGTTTTTTTTTTTTTTGCTTTTATTTCGATTCTTGACTCTCTAGAATTGTCGGCGTCGCACAGTGGTTTGAGTAGCGTTATTATCTTATCGAGCAATCGAATTAACATCAAATTGAATTTTGATTTTTTTCACTTTTTTCGATTGACGAATATATATATTTGTAAATACATTATTTTTATGTAACTTTCTACTTAGAATATTATTAATGACATAACTGAAACGTGCACCACACAAGACCAGAGATATTCACAGCTTGTTTGACCAATGGCATTTGCCTTTGGCCCACAGTGCACTGTCGTTGGCGACGACGCGTAGCTGCCGCGATTTGTACAAACATACGGTTTTGCTTAAGCAATGGCCATCAGTTGCTCGTCACATGTTCGACACTCAAGTAGAGACCACTAGCAGGTAACGGAAATTGTGCAGAAAATTGGATCAAACGACGACGATCAGTGCTGTGACCACCACAAACACCACACATTAACAACAACAACAACAGCAGCAACAACGGTATACAAACAACAGTTCCCGCTCAATATAGTGCAAATTAAAAGTGGGAGATTCGAGAGATTTAACCGAAAGCCGCAAAAAGAAAAACTTGTGTGAGTGCTCCTCTCTCTCTCTCTCCCGAATATATATTAATCGAGCTGTTAACATTTCAAACCCAACTACTAGTTGCCAACGCGCTGTTGCCGCCCACAACATTCTCGAAACTTTCTGAGCAACGTGCTCTGACCACACGCTTTTCTGTGTTGTCTTCCTTCTGAGCGTTTGCCTATCTGTGTATGTGTGTGTGTGTGTGTGTTTGTGTTGTTATGTGTTGGGTAAAGGAAAAGCCAAAAACGAATATAAGCAATTAGGGTTTTATTTGTCAGTCGATATTAGTGTAGTACTGTAAAAAGCAAGTGCAGTCATCTTGTCGGTTGTTGGCTTGCGCACGGTTCACGTAATATAACAAACAAAATACAAATTAAACCATCGAACACCGTTTTTGGGCCAGCAGAATTGATCCGTACCTTTACACCGGGCCGTCGCTGCATTGCTTCCACTCTCTTTATCCCTCAACATCCATCTGCATCTCTCTACGACATACAAATATTCCACATCTCTGTCTCTCATACTCGCTGTCGCTGTCGCTCTCACGCTTTCCGATCTGTGTGTCGATATACGTTGATTCTTTTTGCTTGCTGATTTATTTTAATACAGTGGCTGTGCTGTGCTCTCTATTCAAATTCAACAAATAGAATAACTGACTGTGTGTGTGTGCGCGTCTGCTCTATATATACAATACAAATCAAATATACATACATTCGCATTAGTGTTACATATACACGTGAGCCAAAACGAACAGAGACTGTAATCGTGTAACCGTAACCAACAACGTCACTCCAACTGTAACGGTCAACCAACAGCATTCGCGCGACTCTCTTTGCACGACGAAGAAAAAGTAAACGGCAAATAAAAAAGCGCGATCTAACGACTCGATCGTTACGTTGTAAACGCCATCTAGCGTCATTTCGCGAACATTCGGTGTGCGTTGTCCTTGTTTAGTTTCGGCCGTAGTGCAAAAGTGATTTCTCTGCCTCCCTATCGCTCTCTCTCTCTATCACGAGCATTCGTCTACGTGTCTCGCAGCACACATCGCGATCTGCACCTTGAGAATTCGGATAAGAATTATTAAAGCACGACTTATCGCTCAATCCAGCAGGTAAATATTACAAAAGAAACCATCGGACTTTATCAAAATATCGTAACTAGCTATGCGATCACGTAGATCGCGCTGCAGATGACGCTGCCGGGTCTCGGGTTGCCAAAAAAAAAAGCGCCCACCCCAACAAACGCACACACATTTGCACACTCCATCTCTCTCTCTCTCTTCGTCGCTCAGTCTCGCGCTCTCTCTCTCTCTCTCTTTTTCTGTTAGAACACGGATATCTCTTTCTCTTTCATTTCTGTCATTTCCGGCTTGGGCTGAAACAAAATTCACCTTCATTCCGTTTTTGGGAACTTGGCCCTGACGCAAGTTTAAAGGCTTTCCTATTTACTCTGGCATTAAAATCTTAGCTATTTATGAAATAGATATTTCATATACAAAGCAGGCCAGAAATGCAAAGCATAAATTGTCTTACAATTTCAAATCGATGACAAAATATTCATTTCAGTAACTTTAAACAGCATGTAATCAAAAAATTTTTAAATTCCGTTCTGATTGAGGAGATTTCTTGGACAATCCCTGAAGCTGTTTAGCTTTTGTCAGCCATTAACAAATCGCCAAATGCGAATCATATGCTAACCCATAAGTGTCAGCATGAAGAGCTATTTAAAGTTCCAGTTATCCAACCAAGGAGATTAGAAAAATATTTCAAATATTCCAACAGTCTTCTATGAGGTAAAGTTTTGCCCAACTGAGTTATATATTACATATGTATGTACATATATGCATATTATTATGACTAATTTGCCTTTATAGTCCCAACTATATTCCACTTTTCCATTCATTTTTTTCAGTTCATTATTTGTCAACGTTGAGTCACGTGGATAATAGTGTGAATTGATATATAGAATATTTGATATACCTAGAAATTCTTTTAGTAATTATACCACTAATTAGTGTAAATAGGGCCTTAGGTATACCATCCGTATATCCGCTTATCTCTATCTTGGGATTCCCAGCTAACAATCTTGCACTTTATGGCATAAAAATCCCCAATTCTTAGATGGCAAACTCATTAAGCTTTTTACCCATAGCCTATAATAAAAGCAATTGTAAATAGCACACCCACATACATGTACACATGCATACGCTTAAAATCGTTTGGGAATGCAAAAACATTGCGATATATACATATGCGCCAGCCTACCTACATACATAAATACATATCAATATGTATCTGAAAAAAAAACTTACATCATCTTTTGGGCCACAGAGCGGCAGAGGCACAGACTAAGCGAGAGAGGAAGAGAGCGTGAGTAAGAGAGAGTGAGAGTGAGCGAGGGGAGAGAGTAAAAGAACGCCAAAAATGGCAAGCCAATGATTTTGTTGTTGTTGTYGTTATTCTTGTCGAAAGTAATAGAAATTGCGCGTTGGAATTGGAAATGACAGCAGCAAAACAATCGAAAACAAAACAACAAAAATAAGCGTAAACATGCCGCGCACTTTGCTTAACTTCTTTCCAACAACAACAACCACACGCACACACACAAGAAAACTTAAGTCAAATGCAAAAAAAAATGCGATAAACAGCGGCAACAAGGTTACTAGGAGAATATGCTAAAATATACATACATATATAAATAATAGTAGACAATAGTTAATTTTTATTTATAATACTTATAATAATTTTTTGTATTATTCCCTCTTTTTCACTCTTGGCAGCAATAAATAGGGCAAACATTTAGAACAGAGGACGCAGTGAGAGAAAAAAAAAGGCGCATTCACGAAATACATCGTCCGTCAGAGCCAGTGAAAGAAAAAAAAAAACATCAAGCTACAATAACAACAACAACAACAAATACAGCAAGAGCGACCACCAAACAACAACTGAAACAACAACAACCAGACGCAATTTAATGAATTTTGTGATTATAAATATTGCAAAGGTACAACAAAAGCTCATTTAATAAAAAATCGCGGCGTCGAGCACAACGCCGAGCGGCAAAAACCCATCAAGAGTAAAAATCAAATAAAAACAAAAACAAATCGGCGAAAGAAAAAAAAAACAAATAAAAATAGAAAAGGAAAAAATCAAACGCACAATTGCAGCAACAACAAAACGTGGCAATAACTAAAACAGAAAGCTTTGGCAAGTTAGAAACAAAAACAAAGAACAACAACAACAAACCGAGCAAGCCCGTGAGAGAGTGCAAAGTGTTCGAACAGTGTGAGTGCGTGCGTGMGTTTATATTTGTGTGTGTGCATGCGCGTATGTGTGCGTGCCCAAGTGCTTGAGTAACAGAAAAAGCAACCACAGTGAGAGTGCGAGCGCGAGCGAGCGTAAAAGAGCGAGCTTAAGCTTAAGAGAGCGCCGAAGCAAAAGCAACAGTAATTCAACAGCTCGTCAAGCGAAGCAGCAACCAAAGCCAATTGCGCATAGAACAAGCACAGAGGCACATTTAGTAGCAGCGCAAAGCCAATAAAAAAGCAAAAAAAAATATATAAACACAAAAATACAAGAAAATTAAAAAAAAAAAATTATTAATACAAGTGGAAAATCAAAATAAAATACAAATTCATAAAAACGGCTGGACAAGTTTTAAGTGCAACGACAACGTTACCGTTGTGAAAATGGTAAACAAAGCCCAAGGGAAACAGGCGAAGGCGGAAAAGGACAAACAAGCGACACAGCAACAGGAGAGGTCGCAACAGCAACAGGTGCTACAAATTAACAAACCAAATAACAACAACAACAACAGCAAAGACAACAACAACGATAGCAATGGCAATGGCAACGGCAACGGCGGCAATCAACTGAAAGCCAGCGAAAAGACTAAAAATGCAAATAACAAATGTAACAACCAAGCAACGCGTGCCAAGGCGGGCAACAACAAAGCACAGCAGCAGCAACAACAGCACCACCAACAACAACAGCAGCAACATCAGCAGCAGCAGCAACAACAACAGCGCAGCAGCAAAAAGTCACGTCGGCAGCGACAGCAGCTATTCTTTCAGCCACTATCGCGTAGTAGCGGCAGCCAGCAACAATTGCAGCTAAACAGCAATAGCCACAGCTACAGCAGCAGCAATAAATGTAGCAACACATCAATAACAACTGCTGCAACAGCAAAAGCGACAGCCACAGCTGCAACAACAACAGCAGCACTTGTTACCAAAGTTAGCTCCAATGATTTGTTAACATCGGCCTTGACCGTGCCCTGTGCCAAATGCTCGAAGCCAGCTATGCTGCCTGGCCTGCTGCCCTCATCCGCCTCCACCAGCAGCGCCAGCTCGGAGGCCAGCAGCAGCAGCAGCAGCAGCAGCAGCTACAGCAGCATCTGCAGCGCCAGCAGCAGCAACAGCAGCAGCAGCGAGCTGCAACAGCAGCAGGAGCCACAGCAGCCACAGCCGCTGCAGTCGCTGCAGCTGGAGACGGCAATCGTTTATACAGGCAAACAATATCGTAAATCCAAATCATATATGGGCGTCTCTCAATATGCAACAAAAGCAGCAGCTGGCAACAACAGCAATAGCAACAGCAACAGCAGCAGCAGCAGCAACAATGTGCCCTATAGACGTTCGCAAAGCGATCGACGTAATTCATTTGATCGCACATTTGCGGAACGTAATCGAGATTTTGTGCCTATTGTCCAGCCGTTGCGTCCCGTTCTCTCCTCATCGAACATCGCAGGTGTTATAGCCAGTGCCAGCAAATTGACCATCATAGAACGTTTCGGCAAAGCACGCATCGCCTATCCCATAATGCAGGTGAGTCGCAACGAGCTATAAATATAATATATGTATATATATCATATACATCTATATAATATACAAACGTATATTTTATATAAATTAACTTACTAATTGAGATTAGAACTCTTGAAACTTGTTTTGAATCACATTCTTAATATTTATTGGCCATAAACTTGTTTGGCTGATCACATTTTAAAGCAATTTATAATTAAGGCATTTATTTGGGATTGAGAAAGTTTAAGTGGTTCTTAACTTGCGAAGCATTATATAAAGTGTTATATATAACAAATTCTGACTATAAATCTATTAGATCATCCAGTTTTCTCATTATAAACATTTCACATTTAGAATAATAAACTATTGCTATGGTGCTATAAAATGTTTTAAACTGTTATAAACTGTATTGAACTGTTATAAACTGATAGAGTATGCAATTAGATATATTTCAAAAAAATGTTATATATAGGGCTTGATGAATTTTTTAGTTCATAGAGCTCATTCGTATTCATAAGAACTGTTATAAAGTGCTATTATAAACTGTTATACTTAAGCTGTTATACTTCAAGTTGATAAATTCTGTCCGCAATCAATAAACAATCCTATTCCACTTATAACTCTAGCAATTTCTCTAAGTAAAAATTGATAAATTTCAATTTAAGAAAAGCTTCTAGGCATGCCATAATTTCTATTTATAGATTAGATACCAAAAAAATGAAGTTTGTAACTCTCTCCATGAAACATTGGTGTGTTTTTGCTCTTGTTATCTTTACGCCTCAGCTGTTATACATACGCAGATCCATAAAATGATATGGCATAACTGATCTGTGACGATTAAGATTTTGCATTGACACAGCTTTATATTAAAAACGTGATGCATAACTATAACAATAAAGACTGCGTAATCTTTAGTAACTTTCCACTTATATCGTTGTTGTTGTTGTTGTTGTTGCCACATAAAGACTCGAGAAGTTCGTTTCTAATCAGCGCTACCTAAGGAAGCAGTTCTAATTAATGGCGGAAAGGCAATTGGATGATAAGACAAACAAAAAGTGCTGAAAGAGAGAGAGAGACAGAGAGAAAGAGGGGGAGTAGGAGAATGGGTGAGAGCGAGAGAGAGAGAGAGAGTGCAGAAGAGAGCGGCTCTCTTTGATTAGTCATCTCAATATGCATCACTGAATCAAATGAAATTACCTTTATATTAGCTACGTATAGCACACAAAGCTTAGCCAATTAAAGTTGTTTCTAGTATTAAGTTTGTTTTTTGTTTTTGCAATTTACTTGGAATTTATATATTACAAAGCTTGTTTATTTGCACGGGTTTGCTTAAGTTGGTTAACGCATTCCTTATCAATGCACATTTTGTGTCGTACATATAAATTTGCACTGGGCTAAAGACGAACCCACTTGGTGGGTGTTGTGTATTCAGTAAATTACGTATACGACATGTTTAACACATTTGCATTCAAATATTGTTTTAAGCTATCAAGAAGTAATTGCAGTATTACAAATATATAGTATACACATATATATATATATATATCAATACTGATAATATGTAGTGCATCAGCATTAAAACTACCGCTATTGATCATAATCTATGTGAAGTCAGCTCTGACTGTAGCTATATATTAGATATTTTGCATGGATGTCGCCTTTTGTCTACAGTAATATCATATCAGACTGCTAACCATTATATAGATTATATAGCTGTCATATAACAAAACTTCACTTAAATGAACTTAATTTCTTATCAATGTCTAACCACTACTTTTGACAGCCATCATAGTTAGATTTCATTTATTGACGAAATGCAATCTGAACTTCGACTAAACTTCAATATATTACGATCATTAATCATTGGAGCTCTTTAACTATATATAGAAATATTGAAGCTTTTGAGCCTCTTATCAAAGTCTGACAGGCAAATCTAAGAGATATATTATTGCTATATTTGTACTATTAAACTTCTATAAATTTAAAGTTCATTCAGATCTTTTCAGTTCAGTATATAGAATTTATGAACTCTCTCTTTAGAACTTACCAACTTTTAAGACCTTTCTATATACGAGTTCAGTTCAATTCACATAGCCGACATAAATTTCTTTTCGTAGTCTTATCTCTACTTCTAACTGCATATTCTTATATATTATTCCCACATTATTCCCAAGTTTATCTAAACTTCGCCCAAGCACGTCTTGTCTCGCTTTGTTTTGTTTTGGTATTTGATCTAACATTTTGTGTGTCGATTTTGACAGAGCAGCTTTATTGGATTGATAGATATTTTCTTTAATGCGGAAATTGCAAAGCCTTGGAATATATTTAAGAAATCGAAACAACAGACATGTGTCTGCAGCAGCGATGAGAAAACAAAATAGATATCGAAATACAAATAGATATATATTTAAATAAAATAAGAAATTAAAAATAATAAAAGCTCAATAATATATTTGATTTATGTTAATTTTGTCGCGCTTCTTCTACATCTGCATATGTGAAAAAATAGCATCGCCCAATATATTTTATATAGTATATGATCTTTAGCTACTTCTACTTCTGCTACTTCTTTTTCTTCGTCTTCTCGATTGATTAGCATGTGCGTCAGCTTTAGTTGTTGTTGCTTAGTTTGTTTGATTACCTTTAAAGACATACCGAAAACTAGTTCTAAATGTATGCGAAAAGGGAAACTTGTTTTACCACTTGGGATACATTTGTTTCAAATGAAGATCGAGAGTAGAAAACACTGAAAAAATAAAAACACATACATACCCCCCACACACATACACCAAAAATTTACCAAAATGCAAATAAATTTTGGTCTTTTTGCTTTTATTTAAACAATTGACAGCGCCATGTCAATAGTCACGAATTAAGCAACATAGTTTAAACAACTGTCGCAGGCACCTGAAAGCTAAATAAAAGCTAACCTTCACCATATAAATTCTATCCAAACAATCTTAACACACATTGTGAAGCAAATACTCCAACTATTATTATTATTATTATTACCATTTTTTTTTTTGTAGTAAGCTGAACCAATTGCAAATGTGTCAAGAGAGAGAGAGTTAGAGAGAGAGAGTGTTTGTGCAATAGACAGAAGTACTTTTGTATAAATATAGTTGATAAGGGCTGAGCTGATACAGTCTTGTCTGTCTGTCTGTCTGATTATCAATGATCGCAGCGATCTGCTAACTTGACTTGGATGCGAACTTGATATTTGAATTATAAATCCGTGCATAGTTAATCTGTTTAATATACAGAATTATCATTTTAAAGCATGATTGAGCAATTTTAGAATGCTAGATATTTATTTCAATTTATTTGTACTCATTTTTGCTTATACATCTGAATACTTATATATCTGTAATTTTATATTATTAATATAATATATAATTATCCTAGATTGTAGCTTACAGCATGTAAATTAGTAAACATTTCTGTTTAGATTAAGTTGATAAATTTTATAATTTCGAAAAAAAGCAACTGATTTTTCAACATCTAGCTCTTTTTTTGCTCTTAAGTCTTCCTCGCATAATTTATATAAACTAGAGCCAATCAATCAGTTTCCTGTAGTTTATATTATTATTTTTATATTTATTCTTTTCATAACTTCTGTTTATCATTCATAAATTATACAAAATTGAGTTCCTAGAAAATGATCTTTGCGATTTATTTGCATACACTTGCCGTGCAAATTGAATTAAAATTGTAAAGCTGCAAGTGAAGTTACATAAGAACTTATTGCCTATGGTGGGGGATGTAAGAATATGTATAGGATAGAAAAAAAAAAGATGGACCCAGTTGAGGCTCAAGTTTTGCATAGTTGCTAGTCTAACAGTTTATTATAAATAGATTTTCTAATTTCATCTTGATGTGAAACATTTAAGCTAGCCAGCTCTCTCATTCTCTCTCTGTCGCTTTGAATACTCTCTTCTGCTCTCTCACGTGAGCAGAGCTAAAAAAAAAAAGTGGGGTTCGTGCTGTACAACACGTGGCAAATGCTGATCAACTGGCCAGCGGAAATGAACTGGCGTGAAAGATAAGATAAACTGGAAACAGACCTGTTGCCATCAAAAAAAAAAAAATTTGCTCTCTCTCTTCTCTCTAGCCCTCTATATACATATATACTAAAACTAAACAATATATGTATATAGACAGATATACATATATGTATATACATACATATGTGTGTAAAAAAAAAAAAATTTTTCAAATAACTTTCAATATTCGCGCTGTATTTGTTATCAGCAACAAAAAAAAAATATTTAAAATTAAAAGGGAATAAAATAAAAAAAAAAAAATTATTAAAGTGAATAAAAAGAACAAAAAAAACCTACAAACATTAGGTAGGCTCTTACAAATATTGAAACTTTTGTTTCATTCTTGCTTACGTCAAGCAGCAAACGACTTTAATCGATAATAGTATATGCATATATACACAGATGTACTAACAAACATATACATGCATATGTACTATAAGTATGTATATGTATACAAATATCTCATCAATATATAATATATAAAATTGATTTGTTTTAATGGAAGTTCTCGCTGAAGCCTGAATGAAGTCAGTTATGATTCGTTTGGCGCAAACAAGGCGCAGCTCTCTAATATTTCACTAATTAAATTTAAACAAAAAACAGCTGCGATGTAGGACCTGAAAAACACTTGGGGATTTCTTAATTATAATGTACCAAATATATATATTTACACATTATATATTTTATTTATTATAGCAATATGAACTTGGGCAACGACGTGCCTAAAAGCTCATTTTTGAATTCTTCAGTGAATTATTTTCCTGGAACATTTTGGAATTTTATATGTACTTATTTTGTTTAATATTCATATAAATATTTTATATACAGTCGAGTACCGATAATTCAAATGTTTCGATTAACACAGAAATTTAAATTATCGAGAACGAATTTTTATCAAAGGAATAGAATTTTTATCGATTTTAAGACTCGACTGTATTTACAATTTTATCTTTTGATTTAGGCTCTCTATAAATTTTG